AAAAATAATATAAAAGTTACAGTGCACATTGGGGCAAACGTACTTAAAACATGGCGATTAATAAACTACAAGGTTTTGATATATGTGTTTGGTATCAATGAAAAAAGAATTCCTGTATTACAATTATGTAAAATTATAATAACCCATCGAACAATTTTAGGAGGTAATTACCAAAAGATTAAAAAAATATATATGTTTTTGTGTATCAACAATTATATTTAGGAATAATTGTGACTTTTTTTATGCACATTTATATGTTTATTTAGGAACAAATCTGACATACAGCTTACCCTCTTTTAACGCTGAAATCCTAGTTTAAAATCGGTTTAAAAAATTACTTAAAAATGTACTATGGCAACTCTGGATACATAAATTTCGGCGTATTACTAATTTCTAGCAACAAATAAGAGTCCAAGCTACAAACTGTATTTTACATGAATTTTATAAATTGTAATACTGTGATATAGCTTTTTAAAATTAATATGAATAAAATTTTACATTGGGGGAAAATGGGTTTAAGCGGTCTAGTTCTCAGATAGGCAATTTGTGCCAAAATTTTGATATTGAATGTGTTAATATGTTTTTTTTTATTATTACAAATTTGATCCCGTTTTTACATAAATGTTTATAAAATTATACACATGTATTAGCAACTAATTATTTTATTCTAACTTGTTAAAAATTTGGACTTTTTATAACAAATTAGCGTGTTTTCTTCATGATAAACATACACTTATTAAGAAACTGAATTCAATTATTTTTTTGTTAGAATTTTTCTCCGACTTTAACCGCTTGAGGGTAGAAAACAATGTCCATGAAAAAACTAATGACGGGGTTGCATGGAGGGAAATGTCAGCTTTCCAGCAATATAAATTTTTCTTTGTAAATATAATTTTTAATTATTGAAACCATTCCGATCGAAATGTGTGACAGACTTGTATATTAGAGTGGGTTGCAAATAGGCGTTTCTCTCGGATCAACTTCTAATAGTGAAATTATGTTGTATTTTAACGTCAAAAGGAAGACTGTAAAATATTATTCAATTATTTTGATGGTAAAAGCCCGCGCATCGCCGCCAAAGTTTGTAAATTACACTTTTTGGAGTTTTTTCACAAAATGAGGCCTTAAATATTAATTATTGCACCATTTTATAGCAAAATCGTAATGCCTTTCCAAATAGATAGAAAAACTCAAAATTGGATAAAAAAAATTTTTACCGAGAATTTTGTGATTCTGAAGACACATAAAATTTTCACGAAATTTTTTTTTTAGTTTTGAAAAATTTTACAAAAAAATATTATGTTTATCTTTATAAGATTCATAAAAGTGCTAGTACGAATTCAAATTGGATAACGCTTGCTCGGTTTAGTCGGTTGTAAAAAAAGAGCCATTAATTTAACAACATGTCCAAAACTCCATTTTCAAATTTTAAAAATTTTTTTAAATGGATTTTAAAAAATTAAAGTGTTCTATATTGGATATTATAAAGTATTTATATAAGAATTGAACACAAAAAGAATGAGCTCAATACCTCTCATGGTTTTACCGTACCTGCGATGTGAAGTTGAAGGATTTCGGGAAAAAGGCAATTTTTGCCAATAATTAAGTAAAAATTATATTATTACCAATTGTTGCTTAATTTTGATCAAGTAAATTGCGATTATTATTTTCGAGTACATGAAAAGTAATTTCTGATAAAATTTCTGAAATTAAAAATCAATAACCCTCTAAACACCGGGGTCAAAATCAAAATTTTGAATATTTTATGTTCTTGAAGAAATAAGAGCATGATGTTGTTAATTTGTTGATGAATATTGATGAAACTTTTTAGAAGTTATTTTTACTACATTTAAATAATACGATAAACCAAATACTGGATATATATCCATTACTTCTTTAAGAAAATTAATTTTACAAAATTTCTTTTAAAAAGTGTTTTTTTAGTGTTTAAAAAAATTGGTCTTGAATTGACCCCAAGTACGACAGAGGGTTAATTTTTGAAGAAGTTTGATTCCTAGATTTCTGGATAGATTTTCGTGTAGTTTGTTCAAATGTATTCATAATTAAATAAACAACATTTTGCTATTTTAAATGAAGAATATTAAATATACACAAATTTGATTTTGACCCCGGTTTTTAGAAGGTTAATGATTTTTAATTTCGGAAATTTGATCAAAAATAACTTTCTATGGACTCGGAAATAATAATCGCAATTTACTTGATCAAACTTAAGCAACAATTGGTGATAATATAATTTTTACTTAATTATTGGCAAAAATTGCCTTTTTCCCGAAATCCCTCAACTCCACATCGCAGGTACGGTAAAACTATGAGAGGTATTAAGCTCATTCTTTTTGTGTTTAATTCTTATATATATATCCTTTATAATATTTATAAAATTTTTTAAAGTTTGAAAATGGAGTTTTGGAGATGCTGTTAAAATAACGGCTTTTTTTGAACACAGACTAAACCGAGTAAGCGTTATCCAATTTGAACAAAAATTCGTACTAGCATATTTATACAAGCTTCCAGGCAGAAGTACGAGCAATAACGGAATGCGTAAATTGGATAAGAATAAATATGGCACCCACACCACTTAATATATTGACCGATAGCCAGAAGGCAATTAGGGCGATATCAGGTGATAGAACTAAATCTAAGACCGTATTGGATTGTAAGAAAGCTTTAACTGAATACTTTCCCAGAGGTAAGGTTCACATCATATGGGTACCAGCTCACTCGGGAGTAGTCGGTAACGAAAGGGCGAATGTAATAGCTTTAAAGGGTAGGGAGCTGGAGGCAGTTAACCTGACAAACGCGAAACCATTCGACGCAACAAAAGCTGAACTATAAATATGGGTGAGAGAATCCCATAAGGCCTCTTGGAATAATGAAACAGTGGGTAGAACCACGAAGATCCTATGGGGTGACCCTGAGAGCAAGACGAAAAATCTCCTCAAAATGAGCAAGTCTGAAGTTAGTATGACGGTACGTATTCTGAGTGGACACACAGGATTACGAGCACATCTATGCAAAATTGGACGTGCGGATTCAGACGAATGTAGAGCATGTGGAGAGGACAGTGAAGCTCTGGAGCACTTTCTTTGCCACTGTCAGGCATTCGTCGAAGTTAGATCCAAGTATCTTGGAAGTGATGTTATTCCGGAAATAACATTCCTGAAACTGAGTTAATGAACACTGAAAAATAGGGAACTGCTCTTTTTTTCATGATAAGGAGCGCACAACAGGCCCAAAAGTGGCCTAGGTGTATTTCTTCGGATTTGATGTAGTATACATACATCTTCCTATCAACCTACCTACCTACCTAGCACATTTAAAAACTGAAAAATTTTCTTATATTTACTTTTATGTGTCTTCAGGATCACAAAATTCCGGGGAAAATTTTAATAACTTAAAACTTTTTTAACCAATTTTGAGTTTTTTTCTATCTTTTTGGAAAGACAATTTTGTAGACATTACGATTTTGCTATAAAATGGTGCCATAAATAAATTTTTTAAGCCTCATTTTTTCCCATATAAACGCATTTACAAACTTTGGGGGCGATGCGCGGGCTCTTACCCTCAAAATAATTGAATAATATTTTGCAATTTGACGTTAAAATACAACATAATTCAACTATTAGAAGTTGATCCGAGAGAAAAGCCTATTTTAAGCGAGCGCGGAAGTACTTGCCTCCAATGTCATCACCGTGTTTAAATAATGAGTTTAAATGCTAATGAAGAAGTAGTGAAAAGAAAATTTTTATGAAAAGTAGTACTTATTTTCTACAATAAAATTGTATTTTTACTTTGAGATAGCATATTAAAACAAGTATGAATTTATAGTCGGGCGTGGCCGAGCATATGATACCCTACACCAGTGATTATGTTACAATTTTTGATTATTTGTATTATTTAATTTCATTTTTACCTTAATTCAGAAATATTTTAACAATTTGTTGACAAAAAAGGGATTTTCTAAAAGAGGGGTTATATGGGGACGGGAGTTAATATGGTCCTATTCGTAAAAAATTTTGTAGAGGGATTTACGCCTACATTAGTTATTTATGCAGAATATCATCGTAATATTAGTGTTCATAAGTGAATTTTGACCATCAAGTCATTTTCTGAAGGGGACTAAGTATGGGCTCAAAAGCCCTTTTACGGGGTACGGTTGTATGGGGGCTATACGAAATAATGGACCGATTTTAATCAATAGGCTTCGTCCTTGGGTCAAAAGAAGAGTATGTGCCAAATTTCATCTAGTTATCTTGAAAATTGCGACCTGTGGAGTTCGCACAAGGTTTGAACACACAGACGGACGGACATATCTAAAAATAGCGCATAATACCCTACACACTATAGTGGTGTAGGGTGTAAACATTTTATTCAAAGTGGAAAGTACACTTTTTGGTATAATTACCAGACATTGACAAAGAAATATGGCATCAATAACTCAATTCCAAAATTTGAATTATCACTTTTTAAAAATATTGTTTTGAACTTTTTAAAAGTATTAGATAATGTGTTCGAGTAATAGAAAACATCCTTGCAAAAAAATTTAAAAACTTTTCTGCTGACCTGACCTGAGTGAATCCGACTAACTAATAAACAGAGAAAACAACTGTGTTTAAGTCTGGGAATGTTGGGTAAGCGAATTTGTAACCAATTATTGTTCGAATCACGTCGAACAAATATAAGTAGCTATTCACCCAAAAAGTAAGTACCTCCACTTTGCTCTAATATTACTTGCATGTTTATCGGATAAGTAAAGTTTTTCCTAGAATGCATCCCAAAATTAAAAAAGATTACCTAAAGTAGGGGCAAGTTTATTCCATATTTTACATCCTATACTTTTAATCATAAGTACAGTACTGTGCAGAAAAGTATGGGAAAACTAGTATTTTATTTTTAGAATATACATACATAAATATTTACAAAAAATTTTAAATCTATACAAAAACATAAAAACAATTTTTATATACATATGATTGCAACATACATTTCAATGATTTATGTATTTATTGTTGCGATAATTAGAAATATGATTACAGTGAATTTAATATTGTTGCAAGTTTTTTGTAACCGCGTGCAATCATAAATGTTTTCTTTAGATGTATTTTTGTATACCCACCATCAAAAAAGATGATGTTTGAAACGAATCTACCAAATTTTATGAGGATCGGCCCATATAAGGTCCCCTTCAGAAAATTACTAACGCCCAGTACTGTTTTAATAATACGAATATAACCATGAAATTTTACATAAATAAGTTTCATATGAATCGAAATCTTCCTACCGAATTTTATGATGAACGGTACGTAATACATACATATGTTCAGGGTTTGAAAAACGGAAAACATTTTTGTTAATTCGAAAGAGCTCGTTCCATAATTGACTTAAGCTCATTCCAAGTATCCCCCTGGTGTTTATAGGAGGGTATTTCTTTTACGGTATACGGTTTGATGGTGGGTATATAAGATTCGGTATAGCCGGATATAACACTCTTACTTGTTTACTTACATATGTATGAACTAAGTAAATATTTAAAGTGTATAACTAGTTAAATAATAAATATTTAAAAATTAGATATCAGACAATTGTATAAAATTAACAAATATAATCTTAATCCAATAAAAAAAACTAACACTATGATGGACTTGTATTTGCAATAAGACCAAGTGCTTGGTTATTATTTGTAGATTTTAATGAAATATTTGGTGTATTATCGCCGTGAGAATTGATTAGATAATTGTTGGCTGCAGATAGACTTTTGGGGAATAACAAGTTGTTTGCAAAACAAAATGCGGATGCATAGTAGGGAGGAAATATGGCTGGAATTGTGGCTGACGAAGGTGGCGGCGCAGTATTAGGTGGTACCACCAAATTTGAACTATTTACAACATTTGTTAAGTAAAGATTATTTTCATACACTCCTTGGCGTTGAGCAATCTTTAAGCGGGATGTTAGCTGTTTTTTCCATTTAGTTCGCCTATTTTGGAACCATGTCTTTATTTGTACTTCTGTTAAATTCAATGATTTTGATAGTTCCATACGTTTGCTGACACTTAAATATTTATCTTGTTTAAATTCATTTTCCAGTCTTTCTAGTTGTTTTGCACTATAGGCCTGACGCGGTTTACGGTCTATTCCTTGTTTGCGAAATCGCTTTGCTGTAAAATGAAAGGAAATTCGAATAGTTAATTAGTTAAAAAATACATAAACAAAAGTTTAAACAGACTTCTAAAAATGTATTTCATAAATGTATCTTCCTTAACTTAACCCTCTTAATTATTTTATAAAATTCCCCATATGATAGCAGTGTTTTTTGTTTCCAAATCAAACTCTAGGTGGACAAAATTAAAAAACATGTATCTTCTGAATTTGAAAAAAGAACGTTTTTTTTTGTAGCTAACATGTTGCTCTCCTCTAATTCAAAAGGTTTTTTTTCAAATGGGCTTTTTGTTCTCATGAGAGAAGCGCGAGAAATTCAAGAAATGTTACCAAAATTAGTTACTTTATTTTCCAATGTGTAGATGTCAATTATATTTTCATTTGAACTATTTTTTTAATTATGTACTTATATTAAGATTTGTACTTTTAAAGGAAATTCAGAATTTATTACTTTAATTCCTAATTAAAGGATTAAAATTTTTTTCCCATACCATTATCTAAAACAGTGTACAATATTGTAGAAAATAAAATTTATTATAAATTGAATGTTAATTTCGATGGAAGGCAAACACTTTGATCATTTTGTCATTTACTACGGCCGTTTACACATTTATTAGATTTATGTTGAGATGTCATATATCGATATTTATATGAACATTTCTAATTTTAATTTTCGGAACTTTGGCTTTAGTGGAGAATTTAAAAGAGTGACTTGTGTATTTCTTGTAGGGTCAAATATGGACTAATCCTCTTGAAATTAGATAAAACTTTTTTTCAATATCTTCACTATACTCCTACATTTTGGCGTGCTGTTTCAAACCAAATGGCTAATCAACATATTTATCAGTGTTTAAACTGTATTTCGGGAGGCAACAATATTGCCCATTTCCAACACCAAAGAAAATTTTTAATATAGAAGTTATGTGGAAAATTTATCCAGCTCTCTCCGCTCGGACTTGCTTTTAATAGAAAAAATGTCTTAGAATGTAATAAGAACGTAAAATATACAAACTTTTCTATATTCGGGGTCAATATACCCTCACCATTTTTGATGGTGGATAAAAAAATTATATATGGCAAAATTGGCATATTTTTTTAACATCGCCAAAAAGGTGTACAATTATCAGGCCTGTCACAGAATTCCATTCCGATCGAAAGTGGAATTACATATCTTTCCTAATTTTCTTCTTCAAAAAAAGAAAATGACAACTTTTTCAGAATGAAACCACTTTACATTTTCAACATGAAATTGTTGTTATTTAAGTTTTTAAGTTTAAGTTATTAAGTTTTTATCGATTTATTTACATGTTATAATTCCACTTTCGATCGGAATGTAATTCTATGACAGGCCTGTATAATTTTATTAATCTTTTTGTAACACATTATCAGGAATCCAAAAATATCATCCAAAAAATTTTTTTAAGCGCATTAAATACACAGTAAAAAACTAAAAATATGATCTTAAAATTTAATATACATACATATATCCTCAAAAATAAATGGAACTACCTGATTTTCCCACAAAAATGAAAATTTAGAATTCTAATATACTACATATTTTTATTTTTAATATTTCTAACAAATAAACCAAATTTAGTATCACCATATGCAAATTTAGTATGTATCTTAGAATCAATTAAATTTTAGTTAGGAACATTATATCTCTAAATAGAAGAAATTAACTCTGGTGCTCACAAAAATTCATCAGCTACACGAAAAAATTTATACACATGTAATTAGCTTTGGGAGGAATTTTATATTATTTCAAATTAAACTACTCGAATTTAAAATAAATATATCGTCACCTGAAACGCAAACGGCCCTAACTAACCAAAAATTCAATATCGATTTTATTGTTGATTCTAATGTATTGCATCAAAACAAATGTCCTCACCAAAAATTGCACTCCTTCTCCTGTAAAATTTTAAAAATGTTAGTTAGTGCCGTTTGCGTTTTAGGTGACGATATGTACATATGCATATGAAGAAGTAAATAATACCTTGGAGTCCCATTAAATGATGATGATGCAGATGATTAAAATGTGTTCCGATCATTGGTTTTGTTGGCAGACCAATCCAGTTGCTATAAATAACAGGAGCAGAGTTTAATCCTCCATAATTTACTAATGGATGTAAACGTTTTATAGTATTGTCGTAGGAAGGAATTGAGGAGACGTCATTCTTTAAAATATTTCCAAGATCGTAAGATGCTAAAAAAAGAGACAAATATTATAAAACTCTTACATAATAATAATTTTAACATTAACTACAAGTTTGGCATAATCCTTTAGAATGACTCATTCCAGTCTTGTAGTAAATGAGCGATATGGGTAGTTTTATTTTTTTCGAACTGATTTCGTACCTAACCCACTCTGATTTCAATGAAAATTTTTAAAACTGTTAATATTTATTTAAAGTTTTTTTCTCAATCATGATGTTTTATATCGTAGAATTTCTAAACTAATATCAGTATTGCATCATGAGGTGTCTCAAAGAAATTCCTTTTAATAATATAAACCCCTAATGGTCCCATTCAGACATTTTTACCATGCATGATCCATTCCTGATTACATAGTAAATACTAAAATGGATCATGTACTCCAATAATATTTGCAAGGAATTACTTTTGGGATTTTATATAACACATAGGTGCATTACGTTGTCCTCACCTAGGACATCGCAATGGAATATATTTTTTTTCATGTCCTATTCTTTTATGGAGTATTCTTCACACCCGAGTGTGAAGTGGCCTCAATTTTTGCAGGGTATATGTATGTAATATACATATTCCCACAAAACTAAAAATTTTGTATCAATGACATTAAGTTCATTGGTATAAATTGTGTTTATGCATGAGTATTTATTTGCTTTAAACAGTTTGGTGTAAAATTTTACTATTTTGCATCAAATAGCACGTCTAAAGTACAAATAATTAACCAACTAGTTGAACACTTCAATCTGATTGCATTTAACACTTTCAAGACAAATAAATAATCCGTTCGGTTTTGCCTCAATTAACATTGTACACATCGGATTAAAATGTTTACATTTTGAGGAACTGAAACACAAATAGTTCTGAGCATTTTAAAAGTGTGAAAATTTTAACAATCTTTACAAATGAGTAAATATAGTGCTCCTATATGCATAAATAGATTTGTACTTATGTATGTACATGGTGTAAGTATTAACTATACCCGGTTTTCTTCGTTAGCCTTTTGAAAAGTAATATTTTATTTTATTTCCTTTTATCCATATATAGGATCCATATAAAGGATGAAATTATTAAATTGATAATTTTTTATTTATTCCCAAGCCAAGTTTTTGAGTCAAAATATTTTTTTTACATCCACTAAGCAAAAGCATCCGACTAAGCAAAAAACGACCATTTTGAAAAATAGCGGTAAATTAAGTGGCAAATATTTGAAAAATCTTATTCTGAATTAAAAATATGTTTTCGATAGATATCCCACTACCATTCCATTAAGGAAATTGTATAAGTTGTTTTGTTTTATTTTTTTGGAAACAGTGAAGAAATATGTAGCTATGCATGTAAACTCCTTTGGACACTTTTTGCTAGAACCAATAGGTGGAAAATTACAGTCATTCGAAAACAACCCGGTATGACCAAAATGTCCAACTTTGAGCCCCTCTAACTCCGGCAGTTTTTGAACGATAGAAGTGAAAATTAATGTCTGTCCTACTATCTAATAACACTAACCTACTACCTAATAGTACTAACCATTTCATACAAATCGATATTTTGAGTTGGGTCACTTGACACGAAATTGCCCATAGGTATATTGGAAATTCTCAGGAATTTGAAGGAATAATATATTTAAAGGTCATTATTTACCATTTTTCAACTTGAAAATTAAAACACTATATTATATTCAAGGATCCTTTCCTTTAATTTGATTCATATATTGAAATAAGGATAGAAACTTTTATTAAATGTTTATGTCCTTAAAAAGGAAAAGTGGAAAACTAAATAAACAGGTTTTCTGTATAGGATTACTGCTTTCACGCGTATTTCGTTTTGTTCAAGTTCAACAAGTAAAGTACAGTATTTTACTAAAATTAATTTGCTTATTTATCAAGAAATACATTTTTTAATATTAGAGTAATAATATAATTTGTTCAACGGCTTAACTAATAATGATATATAAACAAATTTTAAGTATGTGGTAAACAATACATAACGTTTCAACACATATTTATTTAAGAAACAAATAATAGAAATTCTCAAGGATATGAAAGGATGAAATATATAAATTTTTTCGTCCTGTAAAATAAAAACCAAAAATAGATTTGATTTCCGAAGATTGTCATCTTTCATTTGATACCCATATTGACGAAAATTATTCAGTAAAAATATTTTAATAAATTTTAATATCCTTAAAACTATGGTATATATGGTCTCGTTCAGGTCCAATAATTGCTGTTGCACAGTGTAATCAAAAAAGCCTATTTTATTAAATGAAATTCAAATTAGTTTGTAATACATGTAAGAAATTGTCATTTTTTTAATAACAATAATTTAATTTTTATTTAGTTTTTTGTTACGCCCTTTCACATTTCAGTACCGTAATACTTTAATTTTTTAATTTGAATTACCAATATCGTAAAGTAACGACAAATATCGGTTGCATTGACACATTTTCAATTCTTTAACTTTTTAACGACATTAGAATATTTTAACGACAAAGATCGGAAAAATATGTCAATGTCCAAAGTTTCGTATTGAAATATTTTCAAAATATAAAATTATTAACGTGAACTTTTTATTGGTGAAATGGAGTTCTTCGCGCTGTTTTAACGACTCAAATATAGCGAAAAACAGGGGTTTTATGATGTCATTGGATTGTAGAACAAATATTTCAGATTAAATGAAATACCCACTCACAAATTCACCTTAAAAATGCAATTGCTGTTGGCCTTTCTTTTGTAAATAACATCTTAACATTCTTTTGTAAATAACATCTTCGCAGACCCCTTGAGCAATTCATTTAATTTCCCGGAACCTCAAAATTAGTGTATGAAAGTTGGTTTTTATTGTTTCCAAAATGTATAGGAAAATGGACAGATTTCAACACGTTTAGTTTTTTACTAGTTGTATGGATTTTCTGATGTTAGTTTGATAATATTGGTGTATCACGTCGGAAGGGTATATTTAAATTTAAAATTTAACTGGATCAACATATTGAAGACGATTTTCGGCTATGACGAATCTTATATATCCACCATCAAATCATATGACGTGAAAGGAATATAAATAAACTATGATATTTTTGAATCTATGCTTTTGTTATTATCGGAACAATTTTCTCATTTATAAGATTTATGTTGGTTTTTTTATGATAAGTATATGTATGTACATTAGGCTAATACATGGTGAAGGGCTTTTAGGAGTTCTTAAGTCAATTATGGCCCGAAAAAAAAAATTAATTTTTTAAAACAAATAATTTTTGTCCTATTTTTATAACCATAAACTGTTTTTTTTTTAAGAGGGGTTCTTTGGAGGTAGCTTCAATTATGGACCAATCCTCATCGGTTTGGGTAACACTTATTCTTCAAATTTCACCGCTGTAGCAATTTCCTGATCCCTTAATGGGGTAGGGCCAATTACAGACTGATGCTCATAAAATTTGCTACTTTGGTTCTTACAAAACTTGTTTATATCGAATTTGATCTCTGTTATCGTATTTTTAATTAATTAATTATGGGTCGATCATCATTATGCCGAATTTTATCGCATTATGTTATTGAAATTTTTAAACAGCTTAACGTTCATATTCTGGGGTCAATTTTAGGCCGATGCTCATAAAATTTAGTAGGTAGATTGTGGTTCGTATAAAACTTGTTTATGTCTATGGGAAAACGTGGACCGATATTGCCGATGTTCAATACTAAACAAACCATACCTATAGGGAAAATTTGTGTAAAGTTTCAACCCCTTAGCTCTTTCCGTCCGGACTCTATCGTGTTTTTAACAGACAGACGGACGGACATGGCTAGATAGTCTAAGAGTTTAATGAGAACCCAGAATATATTGTATATATGACTAATATTTCGAGGTGATTTTTTTGATGGTGGGTATACAATACACATTGGACATTCATGTGTATATCTGGCATAAAGAATTAAATGTTTTAATCGATAAATTCTGTTTTAATTCGCAATTAAGAAGAAACGTTTGTAAATTACTATATTTGTATTTTTATTACGTAATAAAAAATATACATATGTATTCACAATAAAATGCTGAATTTCTTCGAAAATTCGAAAGTTAAAGTCGTGTAAGCTCAGCACTTTTAAATATGTATGTAGTTTTCGAAAAACGGGTGACATAGCATAAGCGTTTAATGCGTTTTAAACTCATTATACTTTTGCGCTTTTTATGTTTGCAGGTATCGATAAATTTGCGTATTTATGCAGTTCGTTAAAAGTGTTATTTTTAATTTAAATACTATTGTTGTATCCAGTTATATAACACAATATTACATAATTACAAGTCACTTACAAACTTCCGGAGATAATTGACTGGAAGAAGATTTTGTAATCGTTGTTGTATTACTGTTGTTTATCGATGATGTATCTATATTATATTTATGTAAGTTATTCGATCGTCCCAATATGCTATCTATGCTAAAGGGACAATTTCGTTCAGATTTCGACGACGTTTTTGAACAAGAAATATTTTTACTTAATTGTGGATTTTGATCTTCTATATTGCACGGAGTTTCACTAATATCACTACAATTTAATTCGGAATCACAAAAACTTTCTATTTCATCTTCGGAAGTTACAAGTTCCGTTTCATCACCGCTTAAATGGTTGCGACTCATTTTTTTGATTTTCTTTTTTTTTTCTTTTAATATCAATAGCGGAAATTTCAATTTTAAAAAGTTAACTAACTAATCGGTTCTTAATCACTTGTTAAGTACTACTGAATCAGTTATGATTATGTTGTTAAATTGAACCATTTAAAATCCCCTTTAGAACACAGTAATCAAATACACAACAAATTTTTGTATTTGTGTGTATGTAATAGATATACATACAAACATACTCACGTCTTACTTAAGTAAGACAGACTCCGCCCAAATACGAGAAAGAAAATCAAAATATTTACAGAATTAACACACTTTAGAGTTGATAACATTTATCCATTCATCTCCACCACCCATTCGATGGCGGCTTGAGAGTAAGAGAGATAATAATAGTCCAGCAGGGATGCTGCTTACTTACCAATTGGAAAAATGAATACAGTTTTCATATTCTTACATCTAATGCCCACGAGTACAAATGATGTTAATATACATACACATAAATACATGTCAATTATACACGTATGTACAAATTCAATGTATGTATTTAGTAGATACCAGGTGACCACCAGCATTATTCGATAAAAATTACAAATTAAGTTGTTATGGTTGTTTAAAATTTCAATTAGTACTAGCAAAGGTGTTAATATACAATTTCGTTAATGATTTACTCCAATTAGAGTTTACTCTTCCATGAATTTTTTGATCTACACTATATACAATAGATTTTATACCCTACAGCACTATAGTGGGGAGGGTAATATGCGTTTGTGCTGAAGTTTGTAACACCCAAAAATATTGGTTCTATACCAATCGTTTCAAAATCTTTTTCTGAGTAGATTAAGCTACATCCATGTAAACCTTATGCTAAATGTTCTAGTATCTCTTTATATGGATAGGCAAATATTTACTCTTTTACACTTTTTTGCTAACAAATTGTTTAAATATTTCGGAATTAAGAAATAAACAAAACATATTAAATGGTTTATAAATAAAATAATTCACATTTTTTACATAAGACTCGTGGAGGGTACAATGCCATGTCCGACTATACATTCTTATTTTTTAAGTATGTATAAATTAAATTAAATTAAAAAAACGTGCGTAAATAAATAATAAATATTTAGGTAATTCTTTAAAACTATTTTGATCTATAAAATAAAAAAATGTTTAGCTCTTAAATGTGCACTATTTTCATTCCCGAGAATTGTTAAAATATATTTTCATTCCTTGTAAATTCATTTAAAAAATATAACCGGTATTTTCAATAAAAGTTTCTTGATCCTTAATGTTTTGAATGTTAGATCTTATAAAGATCTATATAAGTAAAGATTATAAGTTTATATTTAAAGAAAATTAAAAAGTTTATTTTTTAGTGGACACATGATTTCGGCAAATTTGTAATATGAACATTAGAGGTGTCCAAAAAAATATTGATTTTGTTTGGATGGGTCTTTTTTGTTCATTAGTGTATAAAACTAACTGCTGTTAAATTTTAATGCAATCGGATAAAGGGTATCCGTGACGGAAATCTAATGAAAAGTGTAAAATTGGGTAAATAATAGATAGGACTTTTTTTTATTTCATCAAAAATTTAGCTATTAAAATTATCTTTTCTTAACTTTTTTACCAAATCTTATCTTTTAGAGAATATTATCTATACAAAGAGGTATAAAACATATATCTACAACAATCAATGGACAAGCAACAAAGTTATTGACAATATCTCAAGCCATATATTAACAAGTAAGAGTATTATATTCGGGTATGCCGAATTTTATATACCCACCATCAAACCGTATGTTGTAGAAGGAATGTTCCCTATAAATATCAGGGTTATATTTGGAATGGACCAAAAATACACTACAAAAAATTTAAGATTTTTTCCCCGTATTTTTGAGACCCATTTCGAAAAATCGAAGATATTTTATTTTCAAAAATTATACTGAGGTCAGACTTTTCAATCGCTGGTAGGGAATTGGGGACCATTCCAAAAAATATATTTTTTATATTTTTCGTATTCAGTACATTAATTCGCATCGATTGAGAAGTTTGCCTACATGAAATTCTTAACAAGACTGTTCCTCGGGACACTTTAATGAGCATATGTATATGGGCGGTTGGGTCAATTATAGACCGATTGTCGTAAAATTTGGTGCATACACAGATTTCAGTTATAATATAGCACTTATTTGTTTCGATTTTCATCACTGTACTCGTACTTTTAATACAGTCATGAGAGTTTTTACCGAATTTCGTCGCTGTACTCGCACTTTTATAGTAGTAATTAGCGTTACAGTAATTTTCTGAAGGGGGCCTTATATGGAGGTAGGGTCGGTGATGGACCGATCCCCATAAAATTTGGGACAGAGATTTTGGCAAGTAGGAAATTTACTTATGTCGAATTTCATCGCTATACTCATGTTTTCTAGTCAGTAATGAGCGTTAAAGTAGTTTTCTGAAGGGGACTCCATATGGGGAGTAGGGTCAATTATATACCTATCCTCATAAATGTTGGTGGAGTGATTTTGGCTCATATGAAACTTCTTTATGACGAATTTCATCGATATATTCGTATTTTTTAGCCAGTTAAAGTAATTTTCTGAAGGTGACATTATATGGGTGGTCAATTATGGTCCGTTATTCATAAAATTTTGTAGAGAGCTTTCGGCTCATATGAAACTTATTTATGCCGAACTTCATAGCTATACACTTATTCTTAAAGCAGTAATGACTGTTAAAGCTGTTTTTCGGGGGCCACTTGTATGGGGGCTATGAGAAAACGTGGACCGATATTGCCCATTTTTAATACAAAACAAACATTACCTACAGGGAATATGTAAAATTTTAACCCTCTAGCTCTTTTTGTTCGATCTCTATCGTGTTTTCAACAGACAGACGGACGGAGATGGCTAGATCGTCTTAGAAATTAATAAGGGCCCAGAATATATACATTTTTGTGGTTCCATGACCAATATTCCGATGTGTTACAAATGGAATGACAAAAACAATATACCCCGCAATTTTTTTTGATGGTGGGTATAAAAAATCATGCATTTTTTACATTGTTTAGTCTTTGTTTTGCATGCAGATGTGATAAATATGTATTAATTAGTCCGATCTGACTTAAATCGAACAAAATAAGACCCATCCAAACGAAATTAATATTTTTCTCCTCTAACATGTATACATACATACAGTGCCGGCAAAAAAATAGAAACATGAAAATGTTTTATTGGAAAATCTATTTTCCGCCAAACTATGTGATAGAATATGTAAAATGAAAGCTATTTATGTATTCTTTCTTCTGTTACTCAGGTATTATAGTTTTTTTTTTGACACGGGAAATTTTTATTTAAATTTAACTGAAAATTTAAAATTTAAAAAATAATAGAAACAAATTATTATAATGCATTGGGTAGGTAGCAAAATATTAAAATATTTTGTTTTTTATTTCTTTTTTAATATAAATGTATTTCTGAAAATTAAATAGACTTTTTGCTTAGATTTTTCGTATTGAAGTTGGTTACCTGCATTTTCTTGAGTATATGGACCCTGAAGTCTGCATCGAGGGTATCACTTTCCAAATATCTTAAATAACATGAATATAAAATGAAATAAATTGTTAAAAGTATTTAAATCACCTATAAAACTATTTTTTGGAAAATTTTGGCCAATTTTACACTACTTAACAATTCAAACACTTTAGGTTAGGTTGATAGGAGGATGTACTACCACAACAAATCCGAAGAAATACACCTAGACCCCTACCGGGGCAGTAGTGCGCTCCTTTTCATGAAAAAAAATGTTCACTGAATGAAATATTCAGAAACTCAGTTTCCTGGACATAATTCCTGAGAATCTTCCAATCAGTGTTAGTCAGGAATGTTATTTCAGGAATAACATCACTTCCAAGATACTTGGATCTAACTGCGTCTGAATCCGCACGTCCAATTTTGCACAGATGTACTCGTAATCCTGTGTGTCCAGTCAGAATCGGTACACGGCACCACTTATACAAAAGCAGCATTTACGCTGAACTCCCTGTAGTAGTTTGATATTACACTTTTTGTCCAAAGCAGTCCACCAGATTATTGAAGCATAAGCTAGAAATGGTCTAATTACACTTTTATAAAACCAATTTGTCATAGTAGGACTAAGGCCCCATTTCATGCCTATAGTTCTCCTACATATCGCCCAGCACCGATGTGCCTTGTTGATCCTATCCTCTATGTGGTGTCTCCATTTTAATTTTCCGTCAAGGATTACCCCTAAGTATTTAACTTTGTGTGTCACCGGTATCTTCTTGTCCTAGAAGCAAGGTTCAGTATATGTAGAAATTTTTGTCTTTCTTGTGAAAAGACAGATTTCCGTTTTCGCCGGGTTAACATTGAGACTTTTCTCTTTCAAGGCCGTATTCAGAGCCTTCTTAGCTCTTCTACACAAGTAATTTGTAACATAGCAGACAAGCCTTTCTCGATTAGGGTGCTTAGGAGGCTATTAATCGTGGTAACCCAGAGTAAAGGTGACAAAATGCCACCGCGGTATACCGCAAAATACCTTTTTCCTGATAGTTATATCGTACATCTAGCAGCTTATCCATCTGTTCCTTAGCATGTAGTTGATCCAGTCACCTAGCAACATAAAGCTGGATAAGAGTATCAGTGTGCGCGTTATTGAAGGCGCCTTCGATGTCAATGCATACCGCCAGTATATACAGTTTGCTATCAAAGGATGCACCTATGTAGTGGACAACATCGTTTAAAGCGGTTTCCACCGATCGTCCCTTTACATAAGCATGCTGCTTATATTTAAGGTCTTTATCAGTTATACTGCTTTTAACCATACTATTGACTATCCGTTCCAAGGTTTTAAGTAGGAAGGACGTAAGACTTATCGGTCGCATAGCTGGTTTGGGTATAAATATTACCCTTGCATCCTGCAATTTAACTGGGGTATATGTTAATTTCAAGCATGCAGTAAATATTTGTGAAAGATGCACTCAAACCAGTCTCACCTCCGTCTGCAAAAGTGCCGGGAAGGAGTTTCATTGTCTCCTCTATATCCTCCTGCCTCCTGCCCGTATCAT